AGAGCACCCTGCACCCACCCTTACATGGCCAGAGACTCTGAGACTCACAGCACCCTGCACCCGCCCTTCCACGGCCAGAGACTCAGACTCACAGCACCCTGCACCCGCCCTTCCACAGCCAGACATTCTGACACTCAGAGCACCCTGCACCCACCCTGGGCTGAGCCGTCTGCTGTCCTGACCCTGTGGAGCTGCCGTTTCAGTAGGGGCAGGCACTGAGGCATATGCTGGGTTCAACAGGCATCACAGAGCACCACACGGCCACCCCCAGCGCCTTTTCCGGTGAACTTTCAGTAATGCATAGAAACGTACGGTGCAATGTTTCCTGTGAGCTTACACATGTGTATTTAATATTGATATATGTGCGTAGCATGCATCTCCATGTTGCAAAATAAGAATACAGAGAAACTGATCAAAAGAAAGACGCTAACATGCTCAGCTCTCAGTGGAAAGGACTTCTCATTCTTGAAAACTTAAAAGTAACTTTTCCAAGACATCTACAAAGTAACAGAAATGCTTACAAATTTAACAGCATCTGAGATTGTTACAAATAAAGATGTTAGGTCTAATTTCTCTTTTCCCAACAATTTCTTCGCTCATATTAAATACTGACAGAGTCAACTCATTACATGTAATAAAGGCAATTTTTCCTAATTAAGTTTAAACGTAAAACAGCTTTGTGACTAAATGTCCATTTTTCTTACTGTAGCTGTAGAAACTCACACACAAGTCCCCCTGAGACCACGATTCCTACTCCACAGTATAAGGCCTGGGCGGGGAGGGGCTTGGGCTCGGTCTGCTGAGCTGATCACCACCATTACCTTATTAACATTTTTGGTGTAACCCCGAACCAGATGGGTGCAAACTATGACACACAGTACAAAACCACCTGTCCATCCTCCAGGCGCATGGAAGGCTCGGCCCACAGAGACCAAGCTCTACGCTGCGCCCCTTTTAGAAAGCTCTGCGTATGTTTAAAATTAAAAGTCTTACAAGGAAACTATTTTGCTGTGTTTTAAAATGTTCTTAACTACAAAGAAATAGATATTCATTCTAGCCAGTTAAGTCTCCAGGTAGAAAGTTAACCATGACCTCCCTCAGTCAGCCCCACCCAGAGCCACAGCCGGCAAGGACGGCTGGTGTTCACGGCTACACCTCCTCTCTTCCACCACACGACCACACCTGGACCAGACTTGCCAGCATTTCAACGTGGTGGTCTCCTTCCAGCCACAGTCTGTGGACGGCAGTCAGCCTCCAGCTTTGACCCTGTGCACCCTGACCCTCGAGGGGGATGGGCCCGTGTGTCCCGCCTTGGTGTCCTGGTCCTGAGGGGGTGTGTGTCACAGGGGACGGGCTTGTGTGTCCTGCCTTGGTGTCCTGACCCTTGAGGGGGTGTTTATCACAAGGGGATAGGCTTGTGTGTCCCGCCTTGGTATCCTGACCCTCGAGGGGGACAGGCTTGTGTGTCCTGCCTTGGTGTCCCGGTCCTGAGGGGGTGTGTGTCACAGGGGATGGGCTTGTGGGTCCCGCCTTGGGGTCCTGACCCTCGAGGAAGATGGGCCTATGTGTCCCTCTTTTGTGACCTGGTCCTCAAGGGGGACATGGCCCATGTGTCTGGCCTTCGTGTCCTGACGCTGGCGGAGGACATGGCCTGTGTGTCCCGCCTTCATGTGGCCTGGCACCATGGGTCTGATTTTCCCACGATGGAGGTCTGCTTCTGAAGGGCTGCACCTGCTCCCACAGGGGAGGTGTCTGCTCACCCAAGTGCGTGTCCTGTCTGAGGCCTGGGCTCTTCCCACCCAGGGCTGGGGGCCGGCCCGTCTCTCATGACCCAGGCAAGCAGCCAGGCCTCCCTGGAACTCCGGGCTGCTGTGGGTGTCCGCTCTGCTCTGGGTAAGGCTCTAGAAGGCTCCCGTGGAAGCGACTGCATCTGGGAAAGCCATTCCCCTGTTTAAAGGATGACCCCACCATGGCTACCCACATGCCCAGTCCTCTCAGGAAGTTCAGGCCGCCAGGAGAGAGGAAGCAGAAGCTGCTGTCCTTCAGCAGGGCCCTGAAAAGCAGGATGAATCAGCGGGACCATTCAGAACAAGGCTCGAATTACTGCTGCACTTTTCAGAATGGAGCCAGGCTCAGCGTTTCAAAACCAGAGGCTGACGTGGACCAGCTCGCACTTGGCTGGGACCTGAGCCAGCCCGAGTGCCACGCCCCAGAGTCACATCATCCCACCCCGTCACCCTGCGCCGGTCACCCAGCTTCCGTCACCCCGCCCCGTCACCCCACCCCCGTCACCCTGCGCCGGTCACCCAGCTTCC